AAGGAGGGGATTCCGTTTTGGTTCAGCAGAACAAAGGCTGGGAAGTGGCGTGTTTGGTTTGTTCTTTCCATACCCATGTGTCACCAGGCAGAGCAGACACTTGCCGGACAGAAGTGGTCACAACTTTGACCAGTGCCGTGTTCTTAGGCTTTTGATTACACGTGTGCAGCGGGAGACTGGTCAACCCTTTGTAAACGAATACTTCTGTGTTTCTATCTCGGTGTACTCACAGTACTTCTCACAAGAGTTAAAGCCCAACTCCGGGAAATCCTCCTTGCATTGAGGCTGTGCCCATACTACAGAGATTGGCACCATTCCCCAGTGCTCCAGTTGTGAACCTTTTGGCATCATGATGTTGATGGCAGGGCTGTGGACCTTGAATTGGGGTCTTGATACTGTCAGGACTGCTGGAGCATGGCGAAGAAGATGCTGTGAGGACCAGTGTGCATAGGATAGGGTACGTATAAATCTATGCCTCCTGGACCTAAACCAGAAGATAACCCTTACAGTTTGGGCTCAGCCCCATTGCAAGGAGCAATTTTACATTTTCCCAGAGTTGGGCTTTAAGGTGTTACCAAACCTACAACAGTAAAAGCCGGCTGTATATGCAGTAAGGCAGGGGTAGGCAACCTTTGAAGAGGTGGAGATCTACCTGACCATCAAACATCACCGGCACAGTGTCCCCTCCTCACACCTGATTTAAACCTCTAATTCCCGTACTATTGTGTTGCAGTTGTGTGCATTGTATGGCAATCGTGCGTTTAAATCGGAGGAGCAGCAGTGCCTGCTTCACTTGTGAATGGGACCTTAGTTGCATTCAGCAGTGGCATCCTTAGGGCTCGTTCACACTTAAAGTTGGGAAGTGGTAAAACCCTGTGGTTTAATTAAGGTTTTGCTGCCCCTCCAATCCCTACACCCTTTAGCTGCTGAGGCAACAACCAAAGGTGTACACATCCTGCAGTAGAAATTAAACCCCCAGTTGCTTTTGGTGGGTGCTACCATCTGCCAGTCATGACCCACTCAAATAAATGGCACCACTCTGCAAGAGCCCCGCGACTCCATGCTTCTGGGAGGTTCACGGGGTTAAACAGGTGGGGAGGAAGCAACAATGCTGCCTGCTTTACCCCTTGTTTGCTGTACTGCACAAGGTTGCAGGACACTTGTAGAGTGGCCTCATTCTCTGGAATGGGTCATGCTTGGCAGGTGCTACACCCGCCATCCATGACCGGGCGTGTAACTCCTGCAACATGTGTATTCCCCTGGCTACTGCAGCTAAAAGGGGGTGCGGTTGGGGCGGGGATGGTAAGAACATACATTGCTCAAATAAATTAAAAAAAAACACTTTTTAATCAGAGTACAGCATCAAGTCATTTAATCTCCTGGGATATTGATCTGGTCAGTTAAGTAGCAGAGGGGGTTGTTCATTTAATTTACACCAAAGCAGCTGAAACTGATTAACAGGTGCACTAGATGGGCAACAATGAGACGACCTCCAAAACAGGAATGGTGTTACAGGTGGAGGCCACTAACATTTTTTCTCTACTCATCTGTTCTGACTGTTTTGTTTTTCACTAGTTTTGCATTTTGGCTAGTGTCCGTGTCACTACTGGTAGCATGAGGCGATACCTCTAACCTGCAGAGGTTGCACAGGCAGTCCAACTCCTCCAGGATGGCACATCAATATGTGCCATTGCCAGAAGGTTTACTTTGTCTCCCAGCACAGTCTCAAGAGCATGGAGGAGATTCCAGAAGACAGGCAGTTACACTAGGAGAGCTGGACAGGGCCATAGAAGGTCCTTAACCCATCAACAGGACCAGTATCTGCTACTTTGTGCAAGGAGGAACAGGATGAGCACTGCCAGAGCCCTACAAAATGACCTGCAGCAGGCCACTGGTGTGAATGTCTCTGACCAAACAATCAGAAACAGACTTCATGAGTGTGGCCTGTGGGCCTGACGTCCTCTGTCCCTGCACAGCCCCATAGAGTTCATTTTGCATTTGCCACTGAACACCAGAATTGGCAGGTCCTCCACTGGCGCCCTGTGCTTTTCAGATGAGAGCAGGTTCACCCTGAGCCATGGAGAACGTTGCTCAGCATGACCTTTTTTGGTGGTGGGTCAGTGATGGTCGGGGAGGCATATCCTTGGAGGGACACACAGACCTCTACAGGCTAGACAATGCCACCCTGACTGCCATTAGGTGTCGGGATGAAATGCTTGGACCCATTGTCAGACCCTACGCTGGTGCAGTGGGTCCTGGGTTCCTCCTGGTGCACGACAATGCCCGGCCTCATGTGGCGAGAGTATACAGGCGTTCCTGGAGAAGTTGATACCATTGAATGGCCACTGTTGCCTCCTAAATCCAATAGGTTGTCTCATTAGGAGGATGCCACAACGTTGTCAGGCATGGATACAAGCATGTGGGGGCCATACAAACTACTGAGTATCATTTTGAGTTGCTGCAATGAAATTTCAGCAAAATGGACTAGCCTGCTGCATCATTTTTTCACTTTGATTTTTTGGGGAGCCTTTGAATTCAGTCCTCTGTAGGTTGATCATTTTCATTTCCATCAAACAATGGGGCATCGTTACGTTCCTAACACATTACCCCGTCCATATCGGTATAGATATCCAGCATGAGATTTTTCCCCATTGAGATCTAATGTGTTTTCAAAGTGTTCCCTTACTTTTTTTTTTTTTTTTTTATCTTAACCATGGGGTTTTACCAACCCCCAAACTCCAAATGTAAATGAACCCTGACTGTTCTGAGCCCCTATAAGGCTTTCACACTGATGTGCTGCGTGTTACCTGCACCACAGTGCATCTGCGACTTTCCTTGGTTAGCTGCGCTTTGCAATATTCTTCAAAAATATCCTGCAGGTGTGGTGCACTTTCTGAAAGCGAACCAAAACTATTGCATTCAGGAGTTTTGGTTTGCTGTCAGTGCAGCAAACCTGCAGAATATAATAGAAGTCTATGGCTAAGCGCAAGAAAGCTGCAGGTACACTGCACTGCACCCGCGCTGCTGGTAAACCGCAGCACATCAGTGTGAAAGCAGCCCTATACTACTATGCCCATTGTACACACTGACCTGAAGATCTCTGCTTTCCTGCTCCTGGCACCACTCTGAAGACCGCACTAAAAGGTGGAGTGTAGCTGGTATCGCTTGGCATGGGGCAGGAGACCGCACTACAGAGGAGGCATCGGCTTATACGGCTCTTGCACCCTACTACAGCTCCAACTTTACAGATGGCCCCACCGCATTGCATTCTGTTTGATGCTCTGGGATGGTGGGTCAGCAAGCCCAGACCACGACCTACCAGTCACCTGGCTACGGGTTGCTGACCACCGCATTAAAGCATGCTTTTTATACTCACTATGGAACCTAAGGGGTAATCCTCCGCATTGTGTAAAAAGGCTGATTGATCCTGTCTTTTCTGATCCACTCCGTTTGCTGTCCACTATCCATCTGCCATAGTTAGAGCAGCAGTGGCAAGACTGCACATGCTCAGTTTGGTGTGTATTGCTAGAGTCTTTTTTTTTTTTTTTTTTTTTCCCCCTCTGGGAGGGTGCATGTGATCGGTACAGAGCCAATCAGTGCTGTCCAGACAGAGAGACAGGAGTCAAGCAGCCTCATAGGACAGTTAGAGGAGAATGAAAACTCCTATAGATAACCAGTGCATGGCTGGACACTGATAGAAGTGCTATATACTGCTGATAAGAGAAAGATTTAGCAGTTTATATTTACTAAATTAATTGGATTTCTATGCTCTGTGTACTGTGGAAGACCGGATATAGTGAATGCAGGGTCTTGGGTTTAGTAACATTTTAAGCACTCATTTACACTGCCTGTTGGGCAGTAAAACCCTGCAGTTGAGCCCCTTTTTTTTACTGCTCCCTCTTAAGCTGCAGCAGCTGGGGTGTACACATGCCACTATGCTTTGTGGCAGGAATTATACCCCCATTGCTTTCTGCAGGTGTAGCGACCACAGAGCACAATTTATAAGTGAATAGGGCTGCTCTGCAAGCTAGTGTGGCAGCCAAGGGGTTAAAGCAGGTGGTGAGGAGGTGAAACAATGCCTCTTCACAGCCTGTCAAATGCTCTCTGAAGAGCTAATCAAATGTGGATCGCTCTTCAGAGACTAAAGCAAGAGTAAATGAGCCCTAAGGGTTTGGGGCAGCTTTTTTACTGACCTTTATTACTGCTATAAACAGTCCAGTCAGGTGGATAAAAGGAGATTAAGCCATGAATCGCTGGGATATCAAAAGCTGGCTGTACATGTGGCAATTTTCAATGAATTTTATGCCATTTTCCACTGGCTGTAAATCACAAATATGATCGCAAGTAACTGACAGCATTTACCACCCACAAGTTCAGAATGAAACCAAATATGGGGGAAGAAGCTACAGCTATTTCATTTAAATCAAGATCAGAAATGTCTTTGTGGTCAATCAAACCATCACTTTGACGTCTTCTGTGATTATGATAAAGAATACAATTGAAGGTTGGTTTTTGCTCTATCAGATGGCCACATGCATGGGTGGCTTTATTCTTGTGAACTGAACTGAGTTTTATTATGTTGCCTTTGAGGTTCTCCATGATGATATCAAGAGCTTTTCTAGGTTTTTCTATGTAGAAATTTAGCTGTTTTGACTTGTGTACCAGAATAGACCTAAATAGTATTTCTTGGGTATAGCTATGTAAAAAGCTGAAGCTCTGGAAGTTGCATGGGTTTTTTTTTTTTTTTTTTTTTTTTTGCATTTTCAAGTTTCCAAAGCCATTTGGAAGTAACAGAACTCAGAAGTGAAAGCTAAGCTGTTCTGAAAAAGGTCATTCAGCTGTGAGATAGCCCTTTTAATATCTAAATGAAATCTTTTATTATCTAAACTCTATTTAATTCCTCTCTATCATTGTGGTAGAATATATTGGCTACAGCAAGTATGTTTGATAGTAATTAACTTTTCATTATCCTTCTTCTTTTTTTTTTTTTTTTTTTTCAGGCTGCTCTCAATCTTCCTTATCGTCCTCCTTTGCATTGTTCTACAATTATCCCCATTATGGCTCTCGCCCTGAAGTTCCTCATGCAACTCCTAAGGCTGAAGGACTCTTGGTGTTTCCTTCCTTGGATGTTATTCATCTCATGGACTTCCCACCACGTTCGTGATGGGATCCGGCATGGGCTGTGGCTCTGTCCGTTTGGAAAGACTGCTCCTCTTCCCTACTGGCTGTATGTGGCCATCACTGCCTCTTTGCCTAATCTGTGCTCACTCATCATGTACCTCACTGGAACAAGAGAAATGATGACCAAAAAACATGGAATACACATTGATGTCTGAGTGTGAGGAGACCACTACAGTCTTGTAGGCTTGGGTGTTTAAAGAGAACCTGTTGACCTGGTACATTTTTATATAGGGCCTAATGCACTAGGCACATAAAGAAAGCAAAAGGGTATTTTTTATGCCTCTGTTCATGAGCCCTAGTAAAACTCAGTGGTAGAAATTCATATATAGACCATATGCTGTATGGTATCTACTCATTGTAGGAGGGAACTCTGGTACAAAACAATAAACAGAGAGAATCCCTGATGGGTTTATTTGCTAAAATAACCAATTAAAAAATTCTCCCTGCAGTATCACAAAGGATAGATAAAGTGGAAATTAACCCTAAGCAAAGGACATCATAGCCTAGAAACCGGACCAAATTTTGCAGTGTCACTATGTGTGACTAATGCTATGACTAATTTTGCCTTCCTAAATTATTTTGAACTTCCTTAAGACTAACCTTTTTTGTACCCTTTTTTTTTTTTTTTTTTTTTTTTTTTTTGCCACCGCAATGCCAGCATGATTTTTCATTTCCTAAACATTATGGCAAAAAAAAATCACCTTGGGGGTGGCCCACTTTACAAAAAGGGGTCATTGTGGTGGTGTTCCTAATATTCTAGTATTTTTATTCGATAATTGTTACACTAGAAAAAAGAGAATTTTAAAAAATGGTAATTTTTCCTTTACTATATGAATAAAAAAAAAAAACGGTTAATAAATGCCACCAAAAGAATTTTCCATGTGTCTCAAAAATTTTGTAAAATGAACTTGTGTACAGTGTTGCATGACCAAGTAATTGTCAGATAATCACAGCACTGAAAAATGTAATCACAGCACTGAACAATGGCCCGGACAGGAAGGAGGTGTAACATGCTGGTCCTGAAGAGGTTAGGCACATATAAAATTTTAATTTCATTAATATTTAGTAAAATTTATATTCATAATACCTAAATTTATAGTCTGACAAATGGACAAAAATATTTAAAATGTATTTTTGATCAGCTAATAATATATGATGATGCTGATAATGTAATATAATATATTTTTTTTTTATATTTTTGTTTTTTGCTCTGTAATCTACAAAGATGGTTACAGTGGCACTGTTTCTTTGCGTAAGGGACAGTGACAGTTTAAACTATCAGGTTTGTGTACAAATCTCATGTTATAATCCTGATTGGCATCAGTGTAATACACGATTGAAGTTCATCCCACTGATAGGGGTAAGAAGTTTGCATTGGGTGGATAATTATGACGGAGAATGGGATTTTCCATATGCCTGTCCACCTACCTAAGATGTAACCAAAATTGAAGTTTCCTGAGAGACCTGTGTGTTTCCTGAGCCCATGGTTAGGGATTACCGCGCTAAGTTATCATGGAAGCTGGAATCAAGTGTTTTATAATGCTTTTCCCAAAATTGCTAGAGCAAAGGGGCTAAAAAATAAATAAATCATATCTACTACAGTGTATCTAAACCCAATAACCTTTTATAGGAGTACTTAGCTTACACTAATGAAGTTTCATTTTGCCATTTTCCCCTATTTCTCTGCATTAAATGTTCTGCCAGATCCAACTCGGTTACAACTTCCTGCTCTAGGGTGACAGCGCTCTCTAAGCAGGGGCAGAGTTGTCACCTCCAAGCCACCCAACCCCACAGTTTGGATCCTGTAGCTTGTTTTGTGTATGCGCCTTGTTTTGAGCCAGTCTGTGTCACCTAACAGTAATAAGCATTCACTTCAATCCTTTAAAAAAATTCAACGTACATTATTTATAAGGCACACATTTATTGGTATTCTGGAACGTGTCCTAAGAAAAAGAAACTGTAGGCGAGCCCTGTCATACCCAAGAGATGTAAACATCTTGTGTGGGATGTGGACACATAATCAGAAGTGGCCCCAGGGCTAGGAGTGGCTGTGCATGTCCCACGGACATTTGCAAAAATAAAAAGTACATTTTAAAATAGAATAAATAGTGCTTATAAAGATATTTTGTATTAAGAAATTAGGCTTTAGGGATACATGGAATACATGTCAGTCATGGAAAATTTCCATTTTATCTGGGCATAGGCTATCAATTTAGTGGCTCTAATTGTCATTCTGGCATTCAGCTTCTACATATACCTGCTAGCTACACCAGTATTGTGAAAATGCAAGTCTTGATTTAGGTACCCCTCCTCCAAGTCCATTTCTGCGTTGCCTGTGCACGCTAGAGGATGAGAGTGACGCACCCAGAAGCCATCCGAATAGTCCTTACTGCAAGGACTTCAGTATGAAATCAATGGTCTTACTGACTAGCACAGTGGCAACGTTTTCTGGATACTGTAAGTGTTACTATATAAGGGACCAGAAGTACCAAGCTGACCAGTTCTCTTTTAAGCAAATATTTGTGTGCAGTTTGATGGATTGTAGTAGGGACATACTGACATTACTGTATATAAATTTGAACAGTGAAAGATCTATTGAAGGTCATCAGTTGCTATGCTACTGTTACTAAATTGTATAGTCTATTTATTTTTTACTAGCAATGCACATTTAATTTTGCAGTACAGTTTTTATGTATATAACACTTGTATGGCTGTGTAGATGTTTACAGGGCCTGGCTGGCCCACACCAGGGTTCATGATCTACACTCACTTGCTGAGTTTCAAGAAACAATGGTCAGTTGACGATCTTTATCAGTGTTCCAAACACTTGTGTAAGCCAATGGACATTCTCTTTCTCTCTGCTCTGCTACACTGAGGCAATACAGTCTGTGGCAGTTCCTGCTTTGGACTCCCAGATAAACAGTGCCCAAAAGCTATTGTCTAAAATACAATCTACTTAAAATTTTCCAGACCATTTTAATAGCTTTTGCAGGAAACCATGTGCTGAGCCGTTGGTGAGGCCATGTCACCATTCATATGTGGTTATGATCTTTGGGTAATAGACTGGGAAAATCGGGCACCTTTGCAAGGCTTATCTGTTTACTCGCCCAAATGGTGTGAGATGTCTGAGATCTGGAGGTCCTCTGTGGACTTTTACTACCCTTGAAGACATGTATATACTATAACTACTGGGCATGACTATTTTAATAATGGGTATTTAAAGCCCTGATCCATGCTACTCGGACATGAGGTCCGCTAAGACTTATAACTGATGCAGATTGTTTTGGTGAGATCTTCTCCATCAAGGTGGAGATCTTATCTATCGAGGTGAAGATCATGAAGTTGCCACCCCACCTCTCCACCTTGTTCAATCAGATTCATTGAAAACATACAAGGTGTTCTGTGAATGGTGGCAACACTGAGCAAGCTTCTCCTGTAGTTACACTTCAGAAGGGTAGCTGCTCAGTACTAGACCCAGAAGACTGTTGCTATCACTGTAGTAGTGGCAATTACTATAATGATTTTCTGCTTTCACTGACTTTGCTCAAGAATGAGATATGCATACTTATATTGGTTCAACTGGACCAATGTAACAGTCTAATAAAATGAATACCTAAACTTCAAGGCTACACTGCTTAGGGAAGGAAACAAGAGCTCTTGTTTCAAGGGCCCTCCCGAAGCAATATTGTTTTCTGCCAGTGGGGAGCCTTCCTGGGCCAGGAAGAGCATAATGATTACTGCTAGCAGCTATAGCCACCAGCAGTAATTGTATGTAAAAAAACTCTTTGACAGGCTGGTAGTACTCAAGTCCCTGCTAAACCAGCCAAGGTTCGATCCATCTATGACTGGCTTTACTCTGCACAACAGTCTCCATTCTATGAACCTGTTCAAGTGCAATATGGAGACTGCAGTGCTGATGTTACAGGGGGAGGATGGGAGGATGGTCACATGCCATTGACAGATCATGTGACCTGATCTCCTGGCTTTTTTATTTTACTTTTTTATTCACTTTAATTCACTCTCGGTTTTGTTTGTTTCAAGAGGGTTTTGCATTCTCTTATACTTCTATGGGAATGCAAAATTCAGTTCATCAGGAGGTCTGATGCACCTCAAACTGATGTCATCAACACAAATCCAAAGGCTGTCGACATTGGCCTGAAAGCACATTGCTGTGATTTGTATTTTTCTTTAATTGTGCGTATTTTAGTGCATTTTTTTGTGCTTTTTAGATGCGTTTTTGAGGTGTCATCATGCTTCATGCACTTTTTTTTTTGTAGGAGGAGTCTGGTTGTTAAAAGACAAAAATACATGTACATTCGCTTTTCAAGCACTCACATTGAAGTCTATAGAGCCAAAACACACTATGCTGCACCAGAAGAAATTCCTGCACCTATTCGAAAAATTGCATTGCACCATGTTGTGGTTGGTGTTGGTGAGAATAATGTGATCTCCTTTGCAGTGTATTGCAGCGTGACCACAAACGCAGGAGAAATCACACTTGTGTGAACTTAAATAAGTTAAACTCCCAGGCACATGTGTGAACTGTAACAGTTAAACAACAATGGTAGGAGCCCATGAGAGAGACCTTTGTCCTATGTCCACTTACAGAAAACAGTGGAAGTATGGTATATGCCCAAAGGGGGTGGGGGATATATTTGAAATCCTCAGAGTGAGGCCAACCAACTCTGTTCATATCACTAAGGCCCCTTTCACATGGGGTGGACTCCGCAAGGAGTCCCCTTTCTCAATGGGGGGTCTGTCTGCTGATCCCTGAAACAGGCGGATGGCGCTTTTGCAGAGAGGACATGAACACAGCCCGCTGTCCTCTGTGGGCGGTCGGATAAAAAACGGACCAACTATCTGTTTACACCCGAGTGCCATCCTATCTGCTAGACAGAAGGGGAACGGATCCCCATCTGTGTTTTTCATCAGATTGGATGTAGGCAGTTGTAAATGGACACATGTCCGTTTTACACCCACCACCATAGAGGAGAATGGAGGGTCTGATTAGGGTATGCCTAAAAAACTGACAGGCTGATCCGGTCGGTCCACCCATGTGAAAGGGGCCTAAGACTGAAAGATGAGGCAAATTTATACAGGAGGCACTTTCACTGCTGATAGGCCAAATTATACCTCTAGTAACATCCCCACATAA